GACGCGCGTCGCCATCCTCTACTCTGCCAACATTGTCGCCACTGCCTCGTCGGGCTTGATCGCCGCAGCGACGTTTGCAACTTTGGACAAGGTGCACGGAATCCAGGGATGGAAGTGGCTCTTCATCATCGAGGCGGTTGTGACGTTCGGCGTGGCTGTGATTTGCCTGTACACCATGCCGGACCACCCGCTGTCGACACGATGGCTCACTCCCGCCGAGCGCGAGCTGGCACAGGCACGAATCGACCGCGACACGGTGGGCATGGAGCCCAGCAAAGGCGTCGTGGCCGGTCTCAGCCAGGCTTGCAAGGACGGCCGTCTATGGGTGTTTGTGGTGCTGCAAAACCTGCACCTGAGCGCCTGCGGCTTCAACAGCTTCTTCCCTTCGGTGGTGGGCGGACTGGGCTTCAACCGTACTCTGACGCTGGTGCTCACCTGTCCGCCTTACCTGCTGTCGGGCCTATTCATGATTGTCTGGGCCGTATCTTCGGGTCGCAAGAACGAGAAGACGTGGCACATCACCATCTCGATGCTCATCGCGCTGGTGGGCTTCATCATCTCGTGCGTCACGCTCAACACACCCGCGCGCTACATCAGCTGCTTCATCTTCACAATCGGCGCCTACGCCGCCAATTCGGTGATCCTGGGCTGGGTCAGCGCCACATGCGGGCAGACTCAGGAGAAGAAGGCAGCCGCGCTCTCGATCGTCAATACGTTTGGCAACGCCAGCTTTGCCTACACGCCCTTCCTGTACCCCAAGAGCGATGGGCCCAAGTACCTGACGGCCAACATCGCCAACTCGTGCTTTGTGGTAGGATCCATCATCTGCACGTGGATTCTACGACTCTGGCTGAAGCGCGACAACGAGAAGATCAAGAGGTCCAACGCCGATGCCAGGCTCCTCTACGCCTACTAAGGCTGGGCCCTTCGATGCCACTTCACGCCTGGAAACGTGTGAATCTTCTCGAGAGACTTGTATCATCTGCACTGTCCGCCCGCTGTCGTGCTATTTGACAAACCACCGTCTCGCTCCATTGTATCATATGTACCCGTGCCAGGATGCCGAATGCCAGACTTGTCACAGAACCAGTGTCTTGTAAGCCCGTCGCGAGGTGTCGGCTGTTCTTTCATTTCAGCGCATCGCTGCTACCTTGCCGCCTGCCGGAAGCTCAAACTGAGACTGACTACAGCCACGCCAACCCCGAAAGTAGCGAGGAGGAAAGATCCGAGTCCGTGTGGTCGGGACGTTTGAGCAAGCCACGGTCGGTCGGCTCGAGTCGATGTGCGCTCGACCCATGGGTGGTGTTGACTCGACCTGGTCAAAAAAGTATATATAAGTTAGTAAATGATGGGAAAAAATCCCGCCGCTCTAATTTAGCTTTTGTCTTCCCCGCATTTTCCGCACGGTGCTCATCATCCTTCACTCCTCACTTCCATCGTGACGGCGTGCACTCGCACGCCATGGCCACAAGCGCCCGTCGACGATGACTTCACAAGCGGCGCACAGCGTAGCCAGCAGCGGATCTTCCTCCAACAACAAGCGGCTTCTCAGCAGACGCGTTCCTGATGGCAAGCGACGGCGTACGCTGGTCAGCTGTGACCGGTGCAAACAGCGCAGGATGAAGTGCTCGCGATCCGAGCCAGACGCACCCTGCCTCAACTGCTCTCAGCACGGCCTCGAATGTACTTCCGCTCTACCCCGGAAGCATCGCATCCACGGCAGCGTCGAGAGCCTCTCCTGGCGATACCGTGCGCTCGAGGCGCTCGTCCGCGGCCTCACCGGCCACGACATCCAGGAGGCGGAATCCCTCGTTGAGATCGCCCGCAGCCACCACATCGACCTGCCGAGCCTCGAATACAGCGAATACGAGCCACGTGCATTTGCGCACGATCCCCTCGCTTCGATTCCGACTCACACCAGTACAGACTCTCCCTCCGTCATACGCTCTTCCGGCACCGACGATCGACTCGGCAGCAGCGCTTCCGCCACGTGTTCTTCGTGTGCGGCCACAGTTGTACCCCTCAACATTCCCGACGGCAAGCTCATACCAGCTCCTCATGGCGTCTCGCACTACGTTGGTTCAGCCAGCTCGTTTGAGTTTGCCAATGCTGTTCGACGCCTCGTGGCAAAGGTCGATCGTCTCAACACGTCGAGTGCGGCTGCTCGTGCAAGCACCTCCTCCGGCCTGCCCGCTTTCAATACTCCCTCTGTCGTCGAGACCCGATCAGTACCGATTGTATCGTCGGTCTGCACTCAAACGCCTCTGTCTGGCTCGGCTCCCACCTCCACCCAAAAGCTGCGAACCGAGTTTGCCACAAGCATGCGAACTAGCAAGGCGCTCGAGCCCCGCGATCGCACCCATCCTGCTGCGGCCGCGGCCGCGGTCGACGACAGCGCATCTTCAGAGTCCGATGATCAAGTCGATCATGCAGCAACGGATCGAGATGCGCAAACCAGCTCGATAGGCATCGGCCCTTCACCCACTCCTGCCACCGCCGCCAACGCCCCTTCGTCCGGTTCGATGTCCTACAACGTCGCTGCCCCGCCCAACCCAGCTACCACCAGCACGAATCCTACCGAGTCTATCCATGCCAACAATCAGATTTCCGACCTTGCTACGCCAGACAGCACGAGATCGATGCGCACACGGCGACTACGGGACCTTCTCCCTGCGAAAGCCATTTCAGACCGATTGGTGGACGCCTTCTTTGACCGTGTCCATCCCAATTATGTGGTCTTTCATCGCGGTCTCTTTCATCGCCGGTATCGATCCATTTGGCGTCCCAACGACCGTGAAAATGATCCCTCGTCGCGATCTGCGGCCAAGGACGGCGATGCTGGGTGGATCTGCTCCCTCCTCATGGTCCTCGTCTTCGGCGCCCAAGCGTTGGAAGGGCAGGGCCTGCCCGACGCCTTGCAGATACAAAGGCGCTACCTTCGTCTTGTGGTTCGAGAGCGTTTCCAGCGCCTCACCTTCACTGCCAGCCTCTCCAACGTTCAGGCCCTCTTGCTTCTCCAGCTCTACGAGCACAACGCGGGCGAGCGCAACGCTGCATGGATGCTCCTAGGGCAGGCTGCACGCATGGCCATCGCTCTCGGAATGCATCGAGAGACCCAAGATCCTGGCTTGGACACCGTCGAGCAGAACCTCCGACGCTTGGTCTGGTGGACGCTGCAGCAATTCGAAATGAACCTCTCCATGGCACTCGGAAGACCGTCCACCTTGGAGCTCGTCGAAGTCACTGCACGTGTTCCGGAAGAAGACATCATGGACCGCAACGACTTCCCCACCGACTACCCGGAACACTATCGCAGGCTCATCGGCATTTCCTGGCGTGCAAAACAGCTCCTTGCCCGAACGTCCGCCCGATACGGCAACGAGCAAGAGCTCCTACAGTGTCTCGCGGTCACACAAGAGGTGCTCGGTCAGCTCGACTCGTGGCACTTGCAGCTGCCACCTCAGCTATCTCCCGACTGGCCGTTTGCCATGCCACGCCAGTGCAGGGCGGTGCTGCTGCTGCTAATCAACTTCCACCACATTTGCGCGGCGCTGGCACGGCCTTTCCTTCTGTGCAAGATCGAGCGCGAGATCGATCAGGTGCAGGATCAGCGGTCACCGGTGTCCGCCGCCGTAGCCGAACTCGCCACGGCCGGCCTTCGCTCGGCTCGTTCCGTGCTCGAGATGTGCGAGCAGCTCCATCAGCAAGACATGCTCGAAGGAGTCTTGTGGCTCGACTGCTACTACCTTCACCATGCCATGCTCATGTGCAGCTTGCCCTACCTTTCACCGTCGAACCAAGTCGTTCGGTCTACGCTCGACAACGAGCACCAAGCACTTCTTTCTCGCACCTCGGCCATCGTCAAAACCGTCCGTCTGGCGCCAACCTACCTGGTGCTGACAAAGATTGCAACGCAGCTCGTCCGCATCGTCGGCATCGACGATAGCATACCGAACGGCCGTCCGGCCGAGGTCGACCATGCTTCTGCTCGAGACGAGCGCCAGGCTGCCACTGCCGATCCCTCCACACCGGTCGCACGCCATGCGAGGGTCGAGCTAGGGCATCATCCATCTATCAACAGTCTCGATCTTTTGCTTGCTGCAGCACAATTGCCCGCACAAACCAACGACGCATCCACAGCCCCGTGGGGCGGTCCCATGCCGCAGGGCCTGAGCGGACTCCCTACAGCTACAGCCGGCCAGAGCGGCCACTCACACGACGCATGGACAGGACCGATCGACCTCGCGTCAGTGCAGACTCATGAGAGTGCCTCGCCCAGCCTGCACAACCTCTTGGCCTTCCAGTCTTCGCCCGATGCGGAGCTGTACAGCGAGTTTTACCAGCTGGGCTTCGAGACCGGCAGTACTTTCTTCACCTGGGACTTTTTCAACGTCGGCGGACAGGGACCAGCTGCCAGTTCCGAGCAGCACGATGCTCCGACAGTCCATCCTGCTTCCAGCCTATAGTCGATTCACTTGAACGAGGCTGCCTCATCGCAGAGTATACCGCCCTGTGCGATCCGAGAGCCTGTGCCGACAGAGCGAGTCGATAATCCGCACAAGCTAGAGAGTACCACGCGGATGAATGACGGTACGCAATGTCGGTGTGTCAGCCTGTTTCAGCAAGATGTGAGAAGCTGCAGGATCTGCAGAGCTGAGATGGGGTTGAAGCTACTGGAATTACATGGGTGATTGCAGGCAAGCTCGGTCCTAGAGGTTGAAGCCTTCGGGCATTGGGTAGAGGAACGGCAGGTCCTTTCCATCCTGGTAGAAGTGGCCATCCTCAAAGTCGTTGAAGACGGGCCAGCAAACGCTCTCGCCTCCCAGCGAAGCCGGGCGATGACCCGAAAAGCCGTTGAGCTCGGTGGCACAGTAGCCCGGGCAGACAACTGCAAGTCGCGGGTGCTGGCTATGCAACACATAGTTTCGCAGATAGGCGTTAAGGAAGAGCTTGCTGACCGCATAGCCCGAGTTCTCCAGCGGGTCGATTGGCTTCCATGGCTCCTGTACGCCCTGACCGCCCTGCTCGTGGAGCAGCCAGTCGTCCATCCACGCCTCGACCTGCTTCCAGTCCGTCTTGCTGCCATCCAGCAGCTTGTCTTGCAGCGACTTCACCTGCGCAGCCGTGGACCACGAACCCACTTCGGACGAGACGACGATGATCTTGCCCGTGTCCTTGGTGAGGATCTGAGCGAACGCCTCGATGCAGGCCTTGGCTCCCCGAACGTTGACGTCAAAGACACCCTTGGAACCCTTTTGCCCGGGCACCTGCAGGATACCGCTGTTGTGCAGCAGCACGTCGAGCGTTCTAGATTGCTTCTGCACGGTTGCCACTGCCTCGCGGATGGACGAGGCGTCGGTGATCTCGAGGAGGATGACGCGGACGTTGGAGAAGTCGGCATCGGGCGCCTCCTTCTTCATCTTGTCCACCGCATCTTTGCCGTTGGACTGCGAGCGAGCTGTAAGGTAGATGGTGGCGTCGGGCAGCTTCTGTGCGAGGTGCTTTACGGCTTCGTAGCCGATACCCTTGTTGGCGCCAGTAACGACGATGGATCGGGGAGATGAGGCGGGCATGGTGTTCGGCTTCGTTCAAAGTGGAAATGGTGGAGCAGGCAAGATAGACCGAGCCTGAGGGAAAGAGCGTTTATATGCGATATGCGAAACATGTGGAGCACGGTGGGATTGCCGGGCCAAAGATAGCCGCGGCTGTTGGTCCCTGCATCCCACCGCGGCTAGCGGCTAAAGTCCGGACGCCGCCCGCTGGAAGCCGCGATGTCAATCCACCACCGCCGCGGATCTGCGGACTTGAGCGCCGATTACTCGCAATCTCCCTCGTCATGATGCAAGCGTGCTTGCCATCGACGACGACTCAGCACGCAGCACACGCTGCTTGCGCACACGCCACAACTCGGCCCGGAGGGGCCATTCCATTTCACGTACAGAAGCACAAGACAATCTCGCTGTGCACGCTCACGGGCGTCTGCAGCGATTCGACCTCGACCGATTCCTGCTCGGTGTGGATGCCACTGCCTTCGGCCAAAACACGATGCTTTCGATCCTCTTTTCGTGACTGAACAGCGCTGCGTCGGTCCGAAAATTGGCGCCGTCCCTTTGACCAGTACCTCGTGTCCTGAGCTGTGGCTTGGCAACCGGCGGAGCTGAACCAGAGGAACATCTCGAGAAGCGAGCGGAGGCCTCGAGAGGAGCTTGCGGATCGTGCCCTTGAAGTCGTGCTGAATGCGGGTCTGGGCTTCCGGCAGCAATGCCACCAATTCCTCCTGGACCCTGTCATCGCTCTCCAGAGGCAGAGTACGCCTTTCGACGGTGAATGTTGCGTGCGCTGGACAGGTCGATGTCTCTTCGCCACCAGGAATCTTGCCAGCGTGCGCACTTCCAAAGTCCAGCGAAGGATTCCGGTCTCTCCGATGGAGTTCGTTACAATGTCTTTGGAAGCATGCGAGGAAGACGCCCATGTCGGCGATGGCGTCGACGCCTTGATCCCAGCACGAGCCGTGGCCTGCCCTGCCCAGCACAGTAATCTCAAACCAGTCAAATCCCCGATGCGCTTCGCAAATTGACCTCGTTGCTTGGCTTTGAGAAAATGGCGCCGTGAACGTCGGGGTATGCTCTTAGCACGTCGAGCAATCCGCGGCTTGCAGCCTCCTCGTCTGCTACAGCTGCGATTCAGACATCGCCGCGCAAGCCGTTGGAGCCGCTGGTTGGGATAGCCGCCACCATGACAGCCACCAGTCCGCCCTCCATGTCTGCACTCATGTCTGCACTGCTTCGACCATAGATCCTTTCATCCCACAGCTCGCCACTGACACCATCGCCCACGTAGCCGGCCAGCGAGACGGTGTCGATGTGACCATCGAAGGGAAGACTCTTGGCTCCAGCACCGCCTGTGCCGCGCTTGACCGCCAAGATGCTGGGACGATCAGGGGCTTGGGCAGGCATGGTCACCATTTCGAAGCCATGGTCGCTGAAACATCGCTAGACAAAATCTGCGATCGCACTTTCTCCTGTGACCGCTTCGGTCGACAGCGTCGGATTCGTGAACGAAATGCTCACCAGCTGCTGAGTGAGAAGTACGACCTCTTCTTCCATAGGGCAGCGGCAGCGGATTGAGAGGCGGGACGAGTTACCACGACTGTTTGTGGACATCCCGCTCCACAAGCTTTGCAAAAGTCGCCGATCAGAATCCCGCACAAATATCCATTTCGTCGGGGCCAGAGCAACACATGCTTGTCTCCTGTGACGGCGTTCTCTTCTCGGCGACTCGTTCCTCGAGCATCGCAGCGGCCTTCCCAACCCTCACTTTATAGCCAAGATAGTACCCGTGCGCTTGTCCTCTTCTTTTTTTTTCGAGAGCGACTTCACATCATGATCAAGACGATTCAGGACAACAAGCATGCAGTGCAGGTCAGACTCACCAAAGTGCAGCAGCGCATCGAGCTTTCCAACGTGCGTCGATTCCATCAGGACGTGCTTCCGGGTTACCGGAAGACAGATCTGACAAAGCTTGCTCTCACATCGCAAGACTTGGGCCAGAGCGTAACTCGCTTCAAAGGCAGCGTCTACGTCAAAGACGAGTCGGATCGCTACGGTCTGCCAGCTTTCAAAGTGCTAGGTGCTGCCTACGCGAGCTTTGTAGCCATGTGCGAAGCCTGGCAGCTCGACCCACATACGGCGACCGTCCAAGAGCTACGCCATCATGCCCAATCCATCGCTCCCACGCCTCTTCTGGTCGCAGCGACCGACGGCAATCATGGCCGAGCCGTCGCCTTCTTCTCCAATCTTGTCGGGCTGGGAGCGCGCATCTACATTCCCAGCGGTGTCTCTTTGATTGCCGAGACAGCTATCAGCGCAGAGGGCCCCAACGTCGATATGATCCGGCTGCTAGAGGACTACGATGAATGTGTCAGGCAAGCTGCAGCGTTTGCCGCCGCTGGCGACCCCACGCAAGGCCAGCAGAGATTGCTCATCCAAGATACCGCTTGGCAAGGATACACGCACATACCTCAGCTGATCGTAGACGGCTACCAGACCATCTTTCGAGAAGTCGACGAGGAACTTGCTTCGCGCAACGGGCAACAGGCGACCCATGTCTTTTGTCCCGTTGGTGTGGGCTCCTTGGCCGACGCCGCTGTGCAGCACTACACCGCTGTCAGGGATGAGGCAACATCGCTGCCGGCAGGCATGGCGACTTCCGTCATCGCCGTCGAGCCAGCAGGATCGGCCTGTCTTTCCAAATCAATAGCGAAAGGACGACTCACCAGCGTGCAGACGCGACACACCATCATGGCGGGTCTCAACTGCGGCACTCCGTCGTACACGGCCTGGCCGAATCTTCAGGCCGGCATCCAGGCGGTCGTCACCATCGAAGATGAGCGAGCACTAGACGCCGTTCAGAGGCTCCACACGTCCGGGATTGCCGCGGGGCCATGCGGCGGTGCACCACTCGCTGCTCTTCAAACATTGTTCAGCAATCCGGTCGAGGCGGAGAGGCTAGGTCTCCTCGATGACGAGCGTGTCGTTGTAGTACTTTTAATGACCGAGGGGGGAAAATCATCATAATCTTCCTACCTTGTAAGCTCACGTTCGCGATCAAACGCTCTCACAGGGCTACGCAAGTACTGAATCATTGCGTTTGTACAGGAAGAACGACTTGGTGTCGAGGACTAAAGCCATGTCCGTTGATGCATCTAGGCAGCTTTCTTGTTTTGCGCTTCCAACGCTTCCGATTCTTCGACCTCTCGCTGGGCAAGGAAGGTGAGCACCTCCAAGCGAGCCGAAACCTCGCTGCCGTTGTTGTTCTGCTTCGCCTCGGCGAGCGTCTTTCGGTATCGGAGGTTGGTACCGTAGACTGTATCCATGAGACCTATCGGGCCGAAGTTCTCGGTGAAAGCAAAGTGATGGAAATCGTGCTGGAGCGGACTGTTAAACCCCGGAATGTAGTAACCGGAATGAGCCTGGATCGTGCCGATTTCGAGGAAAGTGAAGGCGAAGACGTATTGGCTCCAGTGGTGTGGGACGATCAGGGCGCCGATGACGTTGGGGAGGAGGTTCGAGAACAGGTGCTCGGTCATGGTGCAGTATGTAGCGGCCAGCGCCACGGGAGCTGTGTACTCGTGGTGCTTTTTGTGGAAACGTGCATACATGGCTGGCGAGTGGAACCAACGGTGGACGTGAAAGAAGCCGATCTCGGTGCAGAGCACTGTCGCCACGCGAAGAGCGAGCGCAAAGAAGATGGCTTTGGGTTAGCGGTGCAAAGAAACAGCGCCGAGTCGTGGCAGATGAAGGACTCACCATCAAAAAGGACGGTAGCCACTGTTCTCAGTGGACCGGGAAGCTGGTCGGATGAAGTTGGCGTGGGAATCGTCCAGGCACCCACAAGCATGAGCGGTGTCGCAACAACGACAAGATTGCGCAGTGCGCCAAGCGCGATGTTGGCATACTCTGTGCCTTTGACCCGAACAAACGGTTGCACTTTGTACTTGTACAGCCACTTGGGTCTGCCGGTGAGGTCGGCAAGGGCGTAAAGAGCGGACAAGCCCCACAGCACCGAGGTGGTGATGATCCAAGTACCAAAGAAGCGCAGATTGAACGAGCCGAACCTTGTGGTGAGATCATCATAGACCGCGTGACCAAAAGCCGACGAATTGAAGAGGGTGAAGCCCCCGATCAGGACAATGTTGACCAGGTTCTTCCAAACAAAAGCCCGAGGCTGGAGCAGAGTCAGATCATAGCCCCAGTGCTTGGATCGCGGGATGGGTTTTCCGGCAAGGTCCTTGGGTAGTTTCGAGGATCGGTTGGCATGAGCGAAGTCGGAGTCGCTCGTCGCTGGTGCTGCTGCGGTCGCTGTCGTCGCCGCGGCTCTTCTCTTTGTACCGGCCACGGCCTCTGGCATTGACCTGGATGGAATGTTGTCGATGGCAGTCGTTGCCGTTGCGGTTGCTGCCATGATCGTTTGAGATCGTGCAAATCGTTGAGACGGGTGCGGTGTGCAAGAGCGAAGAAGGAAGACCGTCCCGCTATCCTATACCCCGCACCGGCAATGCATGGGTTGCCACCAATCTGACATTTTGCAGCCCCGCCGCGCAGGGAAATGCGGCGCAGTGCAAGGGGTAACCTTGCGGAGATGGATAAGCGAGGTGGAAACCTCCGTGAGGTGGGAACCTCCGTCCCGTTGTTGCATTTCTACGCTTCGGCAGCAGTAGGATGCGCATTTTTGCTAGTGAATGACATCGAAACCCTAGATCAACGTCCTCGAGACGCTTGACGTATCCACGAGGGATGGAGCGGTCGTGAAGATCACGAGAGAGAGATCGCTTGCCTAACTCGGTCGAGCTCCTTGCAAGCTATCAGCCGTTGCAACGAAACACAGCTCCACGGACTATCTGGTCCTCGCTTAACACCGGTGGTCGTTCTCAAGACACTGGGCGAACCACAAGATCCTTGAAATCCCTACGGACTATCGTGCCGCAGACTGCAAGTCAAAAGAAGATCAGAGAATATCATGGAGCTCATCTATACAGATTGTCGCCCCAGTGCAGCTTGTGCCGACTTGTGTGAGGCGAAACCGACCACAGGCCACTAACACACGGCTGAAACTCGTCAAAGCGACTCAGCGATGGACATCGTACAGCGTTCAAGCGTCTCAAGCGACTATTTAGCTTTATATACCCCTTCCGACAACCTCCCCACACACGCTTCGACCACAAACAAGATCTTCCAACCATGCCTGGCTACAGTGCATCCGGATCCGCAAGCATGGCTCAAGTATGGCGTGTTCACAGAAAAGGCCCGCCTCCTCTTACACTGCAGAAAGATACGGTAGCCATCCCTGAGCCAAAACGGGGCGAGGTGCTCGTCAAGGTCCACAGCGCTGCTGTGAACCCAGGTGAGTCAGGCCCAGCTATACCGCCAAGCGGTCGAAAGAATGAACAAGGCACTCACGCATCTTGATCCCGTATGACAGTCGAGTGGAAAATTGCGACCCATGCGCCTTCTTTCATACAGAAACTTCCAAGGGGTATTGGCACCGACCTTTCTGGCACCGTCCTTGCCACTGGACCCGGTCTTTCATTGGAACAACTTGAGGCCTTCAAACCTGGCACGCTGGTCATGGGTATGGTCCCAGTCGAGGTCTCGCTCAAGAACGGTCAAGGAGCCTTGAGCACGCACGTGTGTGTCGCTGTCGAACAACTGGGAGCAATCCCCGCTTCTCTGCAAGAGCAGCTCAGCTTGCAGGACGCTGCTGGTCTGCCACTCGTGGGAACTACTGCCCTCGCGCTGGTGCGTAGGGCCCGTGCTGGGGACAAAGTGCTTGTTTGCGGCGGGAGCACAAGTGTCGGGCTCGTCTTGCTTCAACTGCTGAAAGCGGAGGGAGCTGGTTGCGTAGTTGCAACAGCCAGTGGCGCAAAAAGGGATACCGTGAAAGCACTGGGAGCAGACGAGGTGATCGACTGTGAGTATCTTCCTTGCGTTCTGTCTCTCAAGCTCAGGCAATGCCACGAGACTGACATCCGCACATGAGCTTGCCTTCTACAGTCCGCGAGAACGATGTCGTGCAAACGCTCAAGCAAAATCACTCAGAGGTCCCGTTCGACCTCATCCTCGACACTGTGGGGGACTTCGCCGTCTTTCGAGCCTGCCCTTACTTTCTCAAGGAGAGCGGTGAATATGCTAATGTTGGCGCTTCCGACATGCGACCAAACGGCTCGATCTGGTCCATCTTGACCTTCCTACGCAACATGACATCAATCTTTCTGCCTTGGTGGCTCGGTGGCGTACCACGCAAATCGACGCCGGGCGGCTCCATTCGCGACGGCCTGCCCGAATTCATCAACAAGTACCTGGTCGATGCATCAGTCAGGTGCCCCGTCGATAGCACCTTTGGTTTTGAAGACGCGCCCAAAGCCTACGAGCGTCTCATGACGGGTCGAGCGATGGGCAAAATCATCGTAAACGTGACGACGCCGTAACGTCCTTTGAACATCAACGCTTTGTTGTATTTGGGTTCTGACTGCGGTGAGACGAAGATTGTCCGTCATCTTCCGGCTCAGACTTCAGGTCTCTACCGTCTAAACTCTCTTCCTTGCTCTTCCGAGGTCGTTGCGCAACAAAGACTTGGCGGTTGCACACACAATCGACAGGCTCTGTAACCCAAACCCACTTCGTCTGCGGAATCTCAGCCCTAAACGATTTGTCTCATGCATTCTAAATTCGTGAGCTTTAAGGGCCCCATGTCGGGGCGCGGGGTGTGCGCAGGCTTTTTGGCCGCCGCCTGTTGTCTTTGCCGGTTGTCAGGGGTCGTGCGCCTGAGAATCCCTGGGTGACTTAGTTCCAACGGACGCCATTGGGTGGTTTTG